GCGCACCACAATCTATGTAGGACAGTGGGGGTTTCCTCAGACGTCTGGGAGGTGGGACAGCCTGGGCCATGAGAGGGCAGGGGACTGAGGGAGCAAGAAAGTAGCTGCAGGCTTCTGCGGGGCCAGCCCACTCTCCAGGCAGCACCCATGCCTCTGTGTGCCTCGGAGCTTGGTGCCCCCAAAACCTAGAGGGTTGCAACTCAGAGGGGAGGAGAGGGTTAGGAAGCAAAGCCAGCAGAAGAACAAAGGACGCTTTGCGGAGAGGGAGGCACCTTCCACCAAGGCCTCCAGGGCCTGGGGAAGTGACTCACTGGGCCCGGGGATGGACCCACCCATGGGGGCTCCGTGGGCCCACAATAGACCCACAGGATAGGGAAGGGGTTGTCAGCTTCCGGTCTCCCGCGGGCTCCTCCCGGCCCACCCCCGTGGGATCTGGTCTGAGTCCAGCCCGGGGCCCTTGGAGATAGGCCATTTTCCTGTTATGCTCTGCCAGAGCCGCCACCACCGCTGCTGCCACCTGGGGCTGTGGGCGTGGCCCCTTCCGCCAGCCCTCCCTCTCCTTGGCCCTGGAGGGACCCGGGCTCCCCAATTCTCGGCAGAGCCACACTACTCCTCTGCCAAAGCGAGGCCATCGGTCCACCCGAAGGTGGCGTCAGGTTCTGTCCCAAGGCTCCGCGGACGCCTCTGATGGGGACTTGAAGAGAGCCCTCGCTGCGCGCCCCGGCTTCCCGGGCAGTTGCACAACCTCCCCCAATTATGCTCCGTGCAGTGTGTGGCAACCGGGCGAGAATTCCAGGACCTTGTACCTACTCGTACCAATCTGCCTTCCCGCTGTTTGGCTGCGGGGCCAGGCGTGGCTCTGGGCCGGGGGAAATGGGGGTGTGTCCGCGTCCAGGAGGGCGTGGCACGCGTCAGTCCCGGGAGCAGCAGCCTGGCCCTGCCAGTGCATTCGGCTCGCCCCAAACCGCAGCTTCCTTGGGGGCCCTGGACCGGGTCCAGGACACAGAAAAGGAAGTTCTGGTGACATACTACACACAGGCTTCGAGCAACAGGCTTGGCCCAGCTACGGCTGGCAGCGCACCTCTGGCCCGGTTTAGCCAGGGATGTGCGGCCTGGGTTCTTCTGCGGGCAGGGCAGGCGTCCTCCCCGGCCCCAGCGAGGCTTGGGCGTCCCTGCGCTTCCCAGGCTCTGCCCCAGCTCTTTAAGACTTTGGCCTGGTTTGTAATTTCTGTGTTAAGAAGGATCCTAGGAGCATGCCCTGATGACCTAGCTCTTATACCAGGGCCGTGGCTTCGGGTCCAGGAACAGCATTGTCCTGTGAGGCCTGGGCGCTATTGGGACTGGCTGTTCTGTGTGATAGAAACAAAGACAAAACCCCAGATGCAGCTGACCCCTAACCCCTCTCCTTTGTGTGTCCCGGGGAGTGTGCCTGCCTCTTTCTCTGGGTCTCTCATTAGAATTTCAGAGAAGCTTCCCTTGCTATGGAGATGCTAGTCGTGAGGCCTGAGAGGTGGTTCTCTCTACATGCAAATCAGTGAATTTGGGGTAATACACGTTCAGTGTCATAACAAAATGCAAAACTGCACTGTGGTCTCTTCCTGATGAATTTACAGAGCTGCAAGTACACAATTGAAAGTAAACAATTCCTGGCTGGGTGCGATGGCTCACACCTGTGATCCCAGCACACTGGGAGGCCAAGGCAGGAGGATCACTTGAGGCCAGGAGTTCGAGACAAGCCTGGCCCAATATATTTTATACAATATGTTGTATTGTATAAAAATACAATAATTAGTTGAGCGTGGTGGTGCACACCTATAATCCCAGCTCCTCAGGAGGCTGAGGCACAAAAATAGCTTGAACCCAGGAGATACAGGTTGCAGTGAGCCAAGATCGTGCCACTGCACTCCAGTCTGGGCAACAGAGCAAGGCCCTGTCTCAAAAAAAAGGAAAAGAAAAAAGTCTGCTCCAAGCCTCATGAGCTGTCTTGCCCTCCAAGCACCTGCAATGCTTGGGACCTGCTGGCCACCAATAAATGGTGCTCTTAGATGGTTGGGAAGAGAAGATAAGGATCTTTGCAGGGAAGCAGGGACTCTTTGATAATCAACGTCCAAAGCCTCAACAGACACACCAGCACCCCTTTCCAAATCATGACTTATCCACAAAAAGCAAAAACTCTACCCAACATTTCCTTTCACTGGGGGTGAGATAAAAACACAGAAGGTTCTCATTCCCTGTGGGTAAACAGCTACCAACAGGCAGCCATGCCTAGATGCACGACCTCAGGGGTGGCCCCCTCACCAGGAGTGAGCCCCCAACTCTGCCTGCAGCTCTAAGGTCTGCAGTGCTCACCCTGGACCCAGTAGGGCTCTGCTTGTCTAGCTTTGGGGTTTGCAGGAAAAAACTCCTGAACCAGATCCAGGGATTAGGCTGGGATGTGACAGGGTAGGCTTCTCTGGGGCTGGGGTTTCCTTTCCACTGAAAGGTCACAGAGAAAGGTCCCTGGGCTTACAGAGGCTGTGGCAGTGAGGACTCACTGGTTGTGGGATCCAGGAAGAGCAGGGACACACTCTTCTTTTCTGACCTTCAACCTTCCCTGGAGTTGTGTTCGATTTGGGTCACCTTAGAAAACTCTGGTGCTTCTAAGAAAACATTAGAGCTAGTCTTGGTTTTGGCAGGAAGTTGTCTTTAGCTGTCACCAACACTGAATTTAGCAGTTTAACCTAAATACAGTTGTTCCTGGATAGACCTTCCTCCAAGCAGGTGCCCTAGACCATCTTTTGTCTCGGGCTTTATGTTGGACATTAGAGCGTTATCTTTGTGATGCCTTTGTAGGTTTCTGTGGATACTGACAAGAAACTTCATTCGATCTAATGAGAAATCTTTCACTAATAAAGGCAGGAGCTACTTTTGACTTATGCATTAACATCATCCTTCTAGTCTTTCCTTCCTTCCTTCCTTTCTTTCCTTTTTTTTTTTTTTTTTTTTGAGAATAAGTCTCACTCTGTCACCCAGGTTGGAGTGCAGTGGTGAGATCTTGGCTCACTGCAACCTCCACCTTCCAGGTTCAAGCAATTCTCTTGCCTCAGGCTCCTGAGTAGCTGGAACTGCAGGCATGCACCACCATGCCTGGCTAATTTTTGTTTTAGTAGAGATAGGGTTTCACCATGTTGGTCAGACTGGTCTCAAACTCCTGACCTCAAATGATCCACCCACCTCAGCCTTCCAAAGTGCTGGGATTACAGGTGTGAGCCACCACACCTGACCCTATTCTTAACATTCATTCTAAGCATATTCATTTGTAGATAATTTCAAAACTTGTGGCAATTAACGACGTGGGCTTTACCCTATACAGTGACCCAGACCCTTTGGTTTGGGTAACTCCACATCAAAGCTCCCATCAGAGATAAGACGGCTGCCAGCCCCTGATCTCCAAGTGACGGCAAGCCCTCTCTCTACAAAAGTCACCTCCTTTGGGTGGGGTTGGGGTGAGCAAAGAGAGCCACCCACATTCTCATCACACACGTGACAAGACCAATATTACCGGTGGCCTTGAGCCTCGTGGCAAACACATTTGCGTACGCCCCTTGAGATGGCCATCAAACTATGACATCCTACTTCCTACAACAGCCACATCAGCCCAGATGTCAGACTCCATCCAGGCCAGTGGCTGCCTTCTCCAGCCATTAGTTGTCCCTCTAGCTGTGTCTAGAGCTCCCTATTGTTTTGAACAGAGGCAGTTTTCCTGCCTCCAACTGAACATCCCCTGGCAGTTCCCATTTTTATATTTTCTACCTGGGCATCTACTTGGGAGAAATTGAGTATCCCCCAGGCCCAATGCAGCCATTTTCCTGTCTCTGGAGAATCGGGAGGGAAGGCAAGGCTTCATGGGATGGGGCCATCTTGGCAGACAGCATTCCCCAGAGAACGTGTGTTGACCTCCAGGCAGGGGAAGCAGGCGGGCTCTGCTGGGCTTAGTCAACTTAAATCTTCTCTTGGTCAGTAGGTCACTGGAGACAGTTTCCCCATTTCTCACATCTGTGCTTTCCTTTTTTTTTTTTTGAGATGGAGTCTCACAATCTCAGTTCACTGCAACCTCTGCCTCCCAGGTTCAAGTGATTCTCCCACCTCAGTCTCCCAAGTAGCTGGGACTACAGGCGTCTGCCACCAAGCTGGCTAATTGTGTGTGTGTGTGTTTTTAGTAGAGACAAGGTTTCGCCATGTTGGCCTTGAACTCATGATCTCAGGGGATCTACCTGCCTCACCCTCCCAAAGTACTGGGATTACAGGCGTGAGCCATCACACCTGGCTGTGCTTTCTCTTTTTAATTTTATTTTGAGACAGAGGCTTGCTCTGTTGCCTAGTCTGGAGTGCAGCAGTGCAAACATGGATGACGGCAGCCTCAACCTCCTGGACTTGTGATCCTTCCACCACCTCAGCCTCCTAAGCAGCTGGGACTATAGGCGCACAACACCATGCCTGGCTCATTTTAAATTTATTTTGTAGAGATGGGGGTCTCACCAAATTGCCCGGGTTTGTTTTGAACTCCTGGGGTCGAGCAATCCTCCTGCCTCAGCCTCCCAAAGTGTTGGAATTACAGGCATGAATCACTGTGACTGGTCCACTTTCCTTTTTTGAAATGTTAGTGGTTTAATTCGCAGATATATACATATGCAAAGCCCACATAGCACAACATGCTCATCACACCCTGAACACTTAAGTCCAGGCTTGGGGGTCTGGAGGGGTGAAGGGAGGCCATGCCTGTACCACCCTCCCACCCAGATCTGCCAACAGCATGTGCACTGAGCACCCAGAGACCACGCTGCTGCTCTCTGGTTGGTCTTCAGATCGGGAAGCTTTGGGATTTGGGACTTCGGATGTTAAGGTCTTACTCAGTAGCCATACCAGGTCCCAAGTGTGACGAGTGGTGGCTCCTGAGGACCCATGCCAGAGTACTTGTTTGTGGCTGCTTTTGTGAAATTACAAACCAAGGGCTAGAGCTGTAATTTATAAAATATCCTTTATTTATTCTAAGGAACAGTCAAGCAGTAGCTTAAAAAAAAAAAAAAGATATTTTTTGAAAGATATTAGTGTTGTGACCTGGCATTGGGCCCCATGTAAGCGGGGCAGTGGCTGGGGCCACTGCTGTGGCTTTGCAAGTTCTCTGAACTCACTGGCAGGGGTCTGGTGGGAAACTGGGAAGCTTTGGCATGGTTCTGTCCAGTTGCTTATAATCAAGAGAAATGAGTTTTGAGGTTTGCAAAGAGCAGAAGTAACATTTATACTGCTGGCATTTGATAAAAGATTGCGTATGATATATTCATTCCAGGAAGTATAAGAATGCTTTAAAGGAATAATTTGTACTTGCTGCTTATGGGGACTAGGTATATTAGAATTATAGCATCATTATGGGAACACGGTGTTTCCCTACAAATTCAGGAATTCTCTGGTCGATGTAAAATCATACTCCCTGATTTTACTTAATTAGTAAAGAAAGAAATAAATTAGAGTAACATTTAGTCAGGTAGAGTTACTCCTTTTCCCCCTTCTTTATTAAATTTTATTTTTAGCACAATTTTTTACTCAAAACGAGAGTTTGGGAATGTTCGAGAATCTCTACCAATCGGTAACCATGCTGGCTATCAGAAAAATCCATAAACACACACAGCATCAAGGTGTTTTCACAAGGCTTCCTTGCTAATCAACACAACACTTCCTCCTCCACTCAGATGAGAGCCTCAGATGCCAAAACACAGATGTGCCAACTATAGGCTCGTTGCTAAGCAGAGAAACCTATCAAGTTTGTCCAGCAAATTTGATTGTACAGGGGGATGGCGTCTGCTCTGTGGCCTCAGACAGGGATCAGCTGGTCTGTGCTGCTGTCCTCTGAGGCAGGTCCAAGCTGGTGGCCCTTAGGGGCAGGTAAAACGGTTCTCATGGGTTAGAACATAAGAGCTTTGAGAAAAAAAATGCAAAAAGGCTTATTAAAATTGGAGGCCTATGTGAATCTCCACATAGAGGCATACTGAGATTTCATTCTGTGCTTAGGTGAACTGCAAGTCTCACGCTAGCTGCGTGACTCAGTCCTCCCTGGCTGGCCTGAGCCACCAGCTACCATCTTCTAATACCACTATGTGGGACTCTAAAGAGGACATCAGCCCCAACCAAGGAACAGTGAGAGAGATAATCCCAAACATTTAAGACAGGGTTCAAGAGCACCCAGACATCTTCTGTCTCTTTCCCAGTTCCCATCTGGCTAGGGGCTGTGAATCAGAATTCAGAATCTGTGCTGCCTGGAGGGGACAGGCACCCAAATGCAATAAATAACTCCAAGCTCAGGACCCAGCCACTGACCCTCCCCCACCACCACCTCGGGTTATTCCTCGATGTGAACTGAAGGATCTGTGGGAGAGGACTCCATTCCACCCGCAAACCTCCCTGTACAACATCGAATGTGGGAGTCCAGCTGCTGCTTCTGCACAGGACAGAGCCTCCAGTCTTTTCATTAGAGCATCATTTATGGCATGGACTAGGAACGCAATGTGTTCACACAAACGCACAATTGTACATCAGCATCTTTACAATATTAAAGGAGCCATATACAAGCCTACAGCCATTGTACACAGGATGGTGATGGCTGGGAAGCCCCACCCACTAGTCCTCTGCAGTTTCTCCACCAGAGAACACACGGGGAGCTGTCACAAGGTGGGGGGGGGAGGGGTCCATCTTTGGGCCTGTTATAAGGGAGGCAGCAGGTCTGTAAGGACTCCTCGGGGCCAGTCCTCACTGGAATCCGGGGTCAAGAGCGCCAGGTCTGCCCGTGTCCGGGTCTCCTTGACAGGCTAGCATAACAAGTTTAATTAAAACTCTGTGCATATTTGAGTGAGAAATTTGGAGCTGGGGATGGCTCCCTGAGCTGGGGACCCAGAAGATGCTGCTGACAGATGGGCCCCTTCAGGGTGGGGCCCATTCCTGAGGTAAGGTGCAGCCCTGAGGCTGGTCAGAATGGGAGAAGGCTTCTCCAGCAGCCCAGGTGCCAGTCCACACAGATAGGACTGGAAGCCCCCCAGGCAGTGGGAGGTCACATGACCCAGAGGTGGAGCCTGAGCCCCAGACGGTAGCAAAGGTGAGGGTCTCAGATGGTTACAGAGCCACTCAGCCCCCAGGCCCCCATCACTCTCCTCCCAGCAGCCCTGCAGCACACATCCCTGCATCTGTCCCAAGAGCCCCAGCCCTGCAGGCATCTGGGCCTGAACGCCAGGCAGCTCGTCCACCCTGCGGCCATGATGCGTGTCCGACTGAGAACTGAGCACCAGATAAAGAAGCGTTGGCCCTTGTCGGCCTCTCTGACTTTTGCAGTTGTTATGGTTGCTTCCATTTTAAATACTGTAGAAAAATAAGCCATCTCAGACGCTAGGAGACCCACTACCAGAGTCTGCCCCATGTGGAGAAGGATAAACAGCTCCTCTGGAGTAGCTGTAGATGCCTCTTCCAACCCTGCCCCAGCAGGCCCCGGGTCCTCAGAGGATTCTGTGCCAGGGTGGGGAGCCAAGGGGCTGGGAGAACTGGCAGCGGAGTTCCCACTGCTGCATCTTTGGGTCACATCAACAATCCTTTGGCAGGCATGCCTCCAGCATCCCACGTTCTGGGGCCACGACACCTGGGACCCTGATGCTCCCTGGGCCAGCTTTGGACCCTCCTGCCTCACCCTCGGTCTCATGCCCACAGCCAAGCACGCACAGGAAGAACTCCCCAGCACTGTTTCCAGGTCCCTGGGGGGCCCAGGTGGGCACTGAAGCAGGGACTAGTCCAGGGGTTCCTGCTTGATCCGAACAGCAGTAGGGGTGGGCTGTGGTCGCCGCTCCTCCCGGCAAAGCACGTACTCACTGAACTGGGAGGAGTCCACGCCGCCCCCACAGGATGCAGCCACGCTGAAACCCCTCTGGAACAGCCGCTCCAGGACCTGCCCAGGAAGAAACAGAGGTCATCAAGGCCCAGCTGCAAGAGGACACCAGTTTGGCCTGGCAGGCAGCCAGAGCACCTTCTGATGTGACCATCTCAGTCTCACTCACTGACAAAGGTCCCTGCAGAACCAGGTGCTGGGTTCCACCACCAGAGGGATGGGAGTGGCCAGGCCCAGTGACCCCTCAGGTTACCAAACCCAGGTGAGCGACCCCATCCAGGCCACCATTCTGCTGCCCTCAGGGCCTTGATTCAGGGAGGCAAAAAGAGCCCTTGGGTCCCTTCTTTCTTCTCTAGGGTGTAACCTAGGCCCTCTCTTCAGACACATGGCCTCAAGTGTCCTCCCGAGTCCTGCCCCAGTAATGGAGAGTTCCCTGTCCCCCAGCCTCTCGGCATCCACCGGTTTCCCTGAGCTGTGCATTCCAAGTGGTTTGAGGCCTGGAGCAAATCAGCTCATGTGAGCTCCGGAGGGAGAGAAAAAGGAGAGGTCCTCTCAATATTTGAGTCTCTGCAGGCCTACACAACTATGTGGGCTTGCGCCTCTGTGAGGGTGGGGTCTGATTACTGTCTCCTGCAACTAGCAAGTTCTGACTGACAAGCTGTGGAATGTGTGTATGGGGGACCTCTTCCCTGCAAAGCCCATTCTGCCCTAACCCAGAAATGTGCCAGGCTCTTGGGTCTGTGAGGCGCTGTTAGAAAATAGACCCTCTCTCCATCTGAGCTCTCCAATTCTCAGACCCATCCAGGAAGAGCCCGTCCAGGGATTCTCTTGGCAGCTGGTGGGTGCCAGCAGCTCTCAGGTCAGCAGGGAGAGAGGGAAGGGGCTCCGGGCCGCCTTTCCACTCAGCCTCTGTCCTGCTTCGCCTGTTGCCTGGGTTTAATTTGAATCCAAAGTCAGACTCTGGGTGTCAAATGAAGCACGCTTTGTTGAAAATACTCTGGGCCATTTTTATAGAACATCCTTTTGGAAAAAAAAAAACAGTACAGATCGATTTTTTTAAGTCCATCCCCCAGGCGCCATCATTTAATTATGAGAGGGACATAAATTATGCATCGACACATTGTTGCCTTTTTTGCAGGATGGCACGGAGGGCTTCACCATTTCAGGGATCGCACCTCCCTCCAGCTTGCTCTGCCCCTGGAGGGCTCCGTGGAGGCCGGGGGGCGGCAGAGGGCAGTGGCGCGCAGCCCTCACCTGCACCGAGTTGAGCCGGCAGTAGCCGTTGAGTGGGAAGCGGATGACGTGCGTAGGGTCTTGGTTCCAGCCGGCGTTGACGGAGTTGCACATGACATCTCCGGTCTCGGGGAAGACCTCCTCGATGAGGGCCTTCTCACCGCTGAGCGCGATCCGCTCGCCCAGGTCAGGCGTGACGCGTACCACCAGGCAGTCACAGGCTCGGCTGCGGCGCCGCTGCTCCTGCTCCTGCTGCCAGCGCTCCAGCTCACGCACCATGGGCTGCAGCTGATAGTAGCGTGCCTCCTCGTACAGCAGGCTGAAGTCCTGGGGATGTGCGCACACAGTGTTGCTGTACGTGTCGGCTCAGGGGTGGGGGAAGTCGGGGAGAGGGGAGGCATCCTGCCAGTTCCAACCAATTCTGCAGGAACTGCCACCCCCAGGGTATCATGTGGACTGGGCCAGTTGCACCCATTGTACGGATGGGGCAACTGAGTGCAAGTATAAAGAATCTAGCCTTGGGCCGGGTGCGGTGGCTCACGCCTATAATCCCAGCACTTTGGGAGGCCGAGGCGGGTGGATCACAAGGTCAAGAGATCGAGACCATCCTTGTCAACATGGTGAAACTCCGTCTCTACTAAAAATACAAAAATTAGCTGGGCATGGTGGCACGCGCTTGTAGTCCCAGCTACTCGGGAGGCTGAGGCAGGAGAATTGCTTGAACCCAGGAGTCGGAGGTTGCAGTGAGCCAAGATCGCGCCATTGCATTCCAGCCTGAGTAACAAGAGCGAAACTCCATCTCAAAAAACAAAAAAAAAGAATCTAGCCTTATCCCAGGGGCAGCCGCTGATGTGCATCTGTGCCAGCACCCCTGAGCCCTTCCATCTGGCTCCAGGCACTGGGCAGAGAAGCCTCCCCATGGAAAGACCCGGAAGCTCCACTAGAGGATGAGGCTGTGCCCATGCCTGGGGACCTGCTGCTGTCTTAGAATCCCACCAAGAGAAGAGATCTTGCTGGGCACAGGGCAGCCAGCCTGTGCCCACCCAGAGGCATAAAAAAGTTCATCTTTAGCTAGGCCTGCCTGGGTTGGGTTTTCCGCTTCATCATCAACCAGCCCTGAGACCTCTAAACCTCACTTACTGAGCATCTCAGTTCTTTTTTTTTTTTTTTAAGATGGAATCTCACTCTGTTGCCCAGGCCAGAGTTCAGTAGCTTGATCTCAGCTCACAGTAACCTCCGCCTCCGGAGTAGCTGGGATTACAGGCCCCTGTCACCACACCTGGCTAAATTTTTGTATTTTTAGTAGAGATGGGGTTTTGCCATGTTGGCCAGGCTGGTCTCGAACCCCTGGCCTCATGTGATCCACTTGCCTCGGACTCCCAAAGGGCTGGGATTACAGGTGTGAGCCACTGCGCCCGACCTCAGTTCCCTTACGTATAGAATGGATATTAACACCCAATTCTGAGAATGAAAGTGAGAGTCAAAGGATGCAACATATGCCAAGTGCCTGGCCCAACCCTTGCCCAAGCAGGCAGAGTGTCCAGGGAAGGGAAGCCTACCCTCTGCCAGGCAGCCCCCTTCTGGGCTGGGCAGGCTCACACAGACTGTCCCTCAGGCGCTGACAGTGGCTCCATGCCCTGGGCCACGTATGTACACCATACACGCTCACCCATACCCATCCCACCGGGAATGGCCAAGTTCCCAACGGTCCCATGACTCATGTCTGATGAAGAGGCAAGAAGCCCAGCTCCCTATCCTACAGGCCCTAAGTCCCTTCCACCTGCTGGCCCTGGCTTTTGGAACCACCTGGAGGGAGGCCTAGATTCTAACCCTGACCTCTGGGCCTGTCATCAGTCAGGCCTCTCCTGCCTAGCACAAGGGTTCCTCAGGGCTCTATCCTGGGCCTCTGCTCTCTCCACTCACACTTGCTCCTGAGATTTTTTAATTTTATTTTTTTAGACAGGGTCTCATTCTATAGTCCAGGCAGGAGTGCAGTGATGTGATCATAGCTCACTGCAGCCTTGATCCCAGCCTCAAGGGATCTTCCTGCTTCAGCCTCTCGAGTAGCTGAGACTATAGGCATAAGTCATGCCAGGATCATTTTTATGAATTTTTTTTTTTTGTAGACACAGGGTCTCCTGGTCTCTCTATGTTGCCCAGGCTAGTCTGAAATTCCTGGGAACAAGTGATCTTTCTGCCTTTGCCTCCTAAAGCACTGGGGTTACAGGTGTAAGCTACCACTCCTGGCCATTCTCCTGAGATTTTAAATGACAACCGCATGCCAGAAAACCTCAGCTTTTCTCATGGCCCAGGATTTCTCCATCCGATGCCCCACCAGCTCTCCCATGCAGGGGCAGAAACCACACTCCAACAGCCTGGTCCACCCTGGGGCCTCCACTCACCAACTCAGAATTCAAGCCCCAAGCCCCAAGGCACCTGCAAGAGGCCCCTTATACTGCCAGTGCTCACCCATGTGCTTTTGCAGCCTCACATTTATGTTTCTTTAATTTTTATTTATTTATTTTTTTGAGACAAAATCTCACTCTGTCACCCAGGCTGGAGTGTAGTGGTGCAATCTCAGCTCACTGCAACCTCCATCTCATGGGTTCAAGCAATTGGACTACAGGTACTAATTTTTGTATTTTTAGTTGAGATGGGTTTTCACCATATTGATCAGGTTGGTCTTGAATTCCTGACCTCAGGTGAGCCACCTGCCTCGGCCTCCCAAAGTGCTGGGATTACAGATGTGAGCCACTGCACCCAGCCTTTTCTTAATTAAAAAGAAAATTTGTGTGTGTGTGTAGAGACGGTCTTGCTCTTGCCCAGGTTGGTCTTAAACTCCAGCTTCAAAAGATCCTCTCTGCTTGTCCTCCCGAAAGTGCTGGGATGAACAGAGTGAGCCACTGTGCCTGTCCTAAACAGAAGTCCAATGTGCCACTTTGCTCCATCTGATCTCCGTCCTGGTCCAAAGCCTCCACCCAGCCTCTCTTGGCCTGGGAAGGGGCCTCATCCACTGTACTCACCCCTGCCCCGCCCTGCCTCCTTTTTCACACAACAGCCAAAGAGATCTTCCCAATTTGCAGATCTGACTGTCTTTCCCCTGCACATACCCCTTCCACTGCATTCAGCATTAAGTGCCAGGCACTGGGCTGCCTGCCAAGGTCCTGACATCAAACAGCAGCTTCCCTTCCTGCCCTTCCCCTCCCAGTCCATAAGGCTCCAGGCTTGACACCTTCTTTCCAGTTCTGGAATGCATCAAGCCATCTGCCGCCCCCACCCCCTGCACCAAGGCCCTCACACCTGTGTTTGCCCCTGTTCTGCCTTCACCACCCAGATAAACATTGTTTCTTCCAAACGCACCCAGCCTAGGTTACATGGAATTCAAGTTCAACATCTGTCCACCCACTAGATTCTAAGTTTCTGGGAGCAATTCCTAGGGTGTGTTTCACTGTGTTTTCAGTCTCAATTCAGTGGCTGGCATCCAGTAACTGAGCTGGATGAAAGACAAGGCCCCAGGGCTATTGGTCCTCTGGATAGAGGAAAGAATGAAGGAAGGACAGACATTTGATAGTATTAATACATAACACAGTAGCCCAGGTCTGAGTTTCCTTCCTCCTAGGGTCCCTGACACCACGGAGGGGCTAAGAATGAGGCAGGACCCACGTAACCATGTCACCTGCCCGGACAGGCTCACCCTGACACCTGGGGGTTACCTTTTGTTTAAAGCATATAAAGGGTAGCTGTTTGGGTCATCAGGGCTTTTCTCCCTGCAAATTGCCCAATATGGAACAGAATTTTTTTTTTTTGAGAGAGTCTTGCTCTGTCATCCAGGCTGGAGCACAGTGGTATGATCTCAGCTTACTGCAACCTCTGCCTCCAGTTCCCCGTTCAAGACAATCTTCTGCCTCAGCCTCCCAAATAGCTGGGATTACAGACGCCAGCCATCATACCCGGCTAATTTTTGTATTTTTAGTAGAGATGGAGTTTCACCAAGTTGGCCAGGCTGATCTTGCACTCCTGACCTCAAGTGATCCACCTACCTTGACCTCCCAGAGTGCTGGGGTCACAGGCTTGAGCCACTGTGCCCAACCAATGGAACAGATTTATGAACCTCTAACTACTATAATGCTGGCATGCGCCCATCCTTAAAAATGACAAACATTCAGCAGGGGTACGTTGCGCAGCTTATCTGTTTTTATATACCCTGATAAATAAGCTAAAAATGTGAGAAAACAAAATTAGTTTAGAAAAACTGATTTAGCCCTCGGCTTCATCGTTTAACTTTTTATGGTTGCCATGACAACCAGGGGTCCATTTATTAAGTCACAGCATCCCCTGAGTAATGCCATCCCACAGGCCGCGCAGGGGTGGTGGGGCGTCAGCTTCGGACTTACCTTGAAGTCATCCGGGAGCAGCAGCTTGGACGTCCGCAGGAAGCTCAGGACATAGCGGAAAATCTCCCCATCCCGGTCGATGAAGTAATGTTGCTTCAAACTGTCCAGGACGATGGGTTCGGTGCCATTGAAGAGGCGGCTTATTCTGGAAGAGACGGGTGAGGTGGGATGTCTGAAGGATGGGGTAAGTTGGCCTGTCTCCCCACACCCTGCCCCCACTCCTTAGGGCACACACGGCTGGAGGGGCAAGGGACCTGACATGGGCGACTCGGGGGCTGTTCCAGGCCTGACAACATTTGCACACACCCAGGGCGGCCAGGCTACAGTTATCAGGCCACATCACACATCCTGCCTACACTCACCACAGCCAGAGAGGGACACACCCAGCTGTACACACCAGCCCGCCGACACATGTTATGTTACAGGCCTGGAAAGCTACAGCGAGACACAAATACCTTACTCCCTACACACAACCACCCTTGCCAGACAGACCCACCCAGAAAGTGTACATGAACCACCCAACACCCTCGCCAACAGCCACACACCCAGTAAACCAGCCAGGATGGTCCATGAGGACACACATCCTCCTCACCCAACCCATGTAAACCAGTGTGAGATACAACTCGCCTGTGCAACAGGCACAGGGCCATGCAGTCCCTTCCTTCCCCCCACACACATACCCCACAGATCCAGACACATCCAGGAAAGGACACACACCTGTAAATACCAGGCACCCACAGACATAATGGCACAAATCCCTGACTGCTGCTCACTCAGGGAGCCCATGGGAGGAGAGAGAGGCAGGCAGGAGGGATGGCAAGTGTGCCATAGTACACACATGCAACACGGCCCTTGCACACACACAAAGGCATACACACACATGCCAGTGTGTACACACACACACAAGCCATGCACTTATGCAGCACAGTGCATGCATGTATGCACACATGCCAGAGCATATGCACATCACCCTGGGGGGTGGTGGAGCTGGTACTCTATCCTCTGAAGGGCAGTGGTTATAACAAATGCAGGACCAGGAAAAGGGTCTTGGGGAGCCCCTGATGCCTGTCCCTGTCCACTCCGGGGAGAAGGAGCCAGGCCTCAGAGCCACAACTGATCCCACCTCCCCAGTGCCCAGGGTAGCTGCCTCTGGTTTGGCAACTGCCCTGGCAGACCCCAGGTCAAGCTATGGATAACTAGGAACCCCAAAGAAAGGTGGGGGTAGCCAAGGGCTTGGCTTGGGAATAGGAGGGAGGTTGGCATCATTTCCCCAAAGGCAGCACCACCAGACATCCTGCAGCAGGCAGGACCACACTCCTACCCAGCTGGACCCCGCCAAGGTGGCAGCTTCTCTGCACAGCTGGGAGAACAGTAGCTCCAATCTGGGACCTAGGCTTCCCAGCCTGGCCTGCACACAAGCTGGTACCTAAGTCCTTCACTCTCTGCCTGCACCAGCAGGGATGCCCCTGTCCCCACAGCAGCCCACTCCTCTGTCCACTCCAAGCCAGCCACCTCCAGGGCCCTGCCCCACTGCCACCTGCACCCATGACACACTAGCTGGGCAGGAGCTGAGGGGGTTAGAGCCCCCAAGTCTGCCCTCAGGGCCTCCCGTCCACACCATCCTGTGCTTTGATGGTCTGGCACACTCAAGGCATCAACCATGGTCTGCCCAGGTATGGAGTTTCTGTGAACATGGTGCAGGTCTCTGTCCTGGCACAGGGCACTATAAAGGGCAAGGGTTAGCTGGGGACCGTGGCTCACATCTGTAATCCCGGCACAAGGTAGAGGATCACTTGAGACAAGGGGTTCGAGACCAGCCGAGGCAACACAGTAAGACCCCATCTCTACAAAAAATTTAAATTAGCTGGGTGTGGTGGCATGCACTTGTAGTCCAAGCTACTTGGGAGGCTGAAGTGGGAGGATCACTTGAGTCTAGGAGTTTGAGGTTGCAATGTGCTGAGATCACACCACTGTACTTGAGCCTGGCCAAGAAAGCCCAATGCTGTCACAAAAAACAAAAGAAAGACAAGAAGAAAAGAAACAAAAGAGAAAGAGGGAGGGAGGGAGGCAGGAAGGAAGGAAAGAAAGAAAAGAGAGAGAAAGAGGCAAGGCTGCCTTGTGGATGGGCGTGGGGAGGTCAGAGCCTGCTGTGAACCTGAGCCTGTGGAACCAGAGCTGCAGCCACCCAGATACACCTCATCTCAGAGTTCGATAGACCAATGAGCCCTGTCACCCCCCTAGGCCTGGCAACAGTGGCACTGCAGGTCACAGTCCCTGCTGGAAAGACTTGTGGGTTCCATAGCTGGCTCTAGTTCCAAAGGCCCTAGGACCTGGCCTAGCAGAGTGTGGGCATCCAGATGTCAGTGAGGGCCACCCAGCATTCCTGGAGACAGATAGGTCTGGCCGAATCTGCCAGACACCATGGGCAGTGGTTGGCAGGTGGCTGAGCATCCACACGTGGCACCAGTGGGAAGTAAGAGCCACATCCACAGGTGAGTCAGCAAATCCAAACCCTCAGCTTCCCTGGGAACTCTCCCCACCCTTTCTGGTGGAGCTCCAAGGTCCATGCAAGCAGGCAGAGTTCTAGGCCTGGCTGAGTTCCCGACCCTTCTGACGTCAGGTCTGGCTGAGGCTCTAGCCGGTCCTGTTGGTCTAGAAGACTTCTGATGTACCCACAATTCCAGGGCTGGATGGGTTCTAGGTTCTCATTGGTGCAAACTTAGAAGGTTCTCCATCTGCCTTATTTCAGGACTGGCTGATTCTAGATCTTTTCATGGTTCAGTATCGGCTCTTGGATCAACTGGCAGCTGCACAGCCTCTCCCAAGACAGAGGCCTTTCATGTCCTCAGTGTCAGAGGCTGCCAAGGACATGAGAAGGTTGAAGAAAGGTGAGGATAATCCCCATGGAGGAGCCCCCAGCCATCCTCAGGGCTGCAGGTGTGAGTTCCCCAGCTCCATCAGTGGCTCCACATATTCCCTGTGGAAAACGGCCCATGCCACCCTTTGCAAGAGGCTGCAGGGTTTGAGGGACCGGCTTCCGAAGTCCTCCATGGAATTAGGTAGCCAGTTCACGCTGCAGCAGCTGGGACCCTCAGAGGCAGAAAAGATGCATTTGACCACCTGCCCTGTGTGCACAATGGCGGAGCATCAGGACGGCCTTCGTCTTTTTTTTTTTAAAAAGCTGTGGCTTCAATTTCCTGGCTGTTTCAGGCACCAGGTTTTATGAGTTTTGAAGCTCCTGGCCATCTTCATTAGATGCTTCCCACAGTTGGGGTGGATATCAGAGTGTGCCTGTGATGGTGGCAGCTAAGGGAGGTCAAGCAGGCAGGACACCAGCAGTCCACTCTCAGCCCTGTCTGCACTCGGCTGTCTTGGGTGAGGACCAGTGACTGCTCCTGGGCAGACCAGAGGAGGCACCCAGCACAAGGCTCTTCAGCTGTCTCTCTCACCCAGAGTACCCTGACTGCCGAGACCCAGAAGCCCAGGCAGAGTTCCTGGGGGGAGCTGAGGGTGGAGGTCCCCAGCTTTTACAGTACTGCCTCAGGCAGGTCATCACCACCATCCAGAAACCCCCTGAGGACCTTAGCACTTAATTCTCCATCTCTAGGTGTCTCATAGATTAGCGACACTGGGTGAGATGGATTTTTTCCAGAATTGGTGGAAAACAGTGCTTCCATTCTAATAATCCACTACAAGAAGGACAGGAGAAATCTGAGGGGCTCTTGCCAGCACAGCTGCCCAGCCCACTTCTCAGCCCCCCCCCCCCCGCCCCTGCCGACTCCCTGTCCCGATTGCCCTACAGGTCACACCATCCCTGGCCTCTAGTCCAAAGCTTCAGGCCTGCAGAGCACCCCCATGGCAGCCAGAGGCCATTCAGGCAGAACAGATCCATCTCGAGCTCCAGCCCTGGGGGAGAACCAATGTAGACTGCCACTCCTTGGGCACATCAGGAGGGTTCCATGTGCCAGATCACAGGGCCACAAGGGCCTTAGCTCTCCATGAGAGCACACCCTACACTGCAGAACAGAGTGATGGGTGAGCAGGGCCTGGTGAGGGGAGATGGCCCTTTGCCTTCCTGCTCCCAGGCAGCAGCCAGGAGCCGAGAATGAGGAGGGCCTCCCACCCGCCTCCCCCAGGGCCTGGGCTGTGATTACTCCAAATCAGAAAGGCAACTGTCTGATTTCAGGAAACACTCTTCAGAGAGGGTTGTGGGCTAAGGTTTTATGAATTTCACTCACAAACGTCGGCAACCGATTAAGGGATGATCTATCTTAAACAACTCGGGAATGCCACAGAAGGCAAAATTGAAATTAAATAAGCAGAATCCATCTCCCATCCTAGTCAGGGCTTTGCAAATGAGCACACAGACCCAAACTGCTGACCTGGCCGCACGGCTCTATCCCCACCCCATGAGCCCCAAGGCCACAGGGCCCCAGGCTGAGTCTCTATCCACTTGGGGGACCGAAATGCCAGTCACCATCTGTACCCTAGACTCACCGAATTTGGAGCCAGACACTGCACACATTTCCAGTTTTTCCTCCTCAAGGGAGCATGCCTGCCCTTGCAAGCGCTCCAACGGGCTCAGAAAGCCACATCCATGCACCACCATTCTCCCTGCTCTGAGCAGCCACACCGGTGACAATGCAGCCTGCCACATATGCTCCCCAGAGACGATCCCTCAGTGTCTGGTGGATTAATTAGCTCCTCCTGTTATTTTAAATGCATAACTCAGGGGTGATGCCCACAGCCTTGGCCCTCCCACACTCAGCCTTCGGCAGCCCCAGGGGAGCGACGGACGCTTCTCTGTGCCAGGAGCAAACATCTTCAGCTGAACAAGCTGCTCGGAGACCCAGACCACCTCAGGCCAGCCCTGCTGCCGTGCCAACAAGGAAAGCAGGTCCCTCACCCAGGAGAGAAACGCCCTACAGGGAAGAGCAGGAGAGTAGGCAGCATCCAGCACCCCGCACCTCTTGCAGGCCCAATGGCCTGGGCAGCCTGTAAGTTCAGCAGCATGGGGGGTACCTGCAAACCCCCAGCCAGGGTCCTGGCCAGAGACCCTCTATCCACTGATGGGGGTATGTGGCTCATTCCTAGCTAGTCACTGCAATACCAGCTCCAAGGGAAGCCAGCTGCTAGTCTCAAAGGCCCAGCAGTGGCCACTGAAAATGACAAAGATGGCACACTGCAGCTCACCACAGCTCCTCCTCCCTCCCCTTGTGAATTTCCCAGCAGTGGAATAGGAAACAGGACTAAACACCTATCCCCATAACCCCAAGACTTACCTACTTAGTATCACTCACAAATGACCCCCTGCAGAGGCAAGGCCTAAGTCTCACTCTAGAGGAACCTTGAAGGTATGAGACTACCCAGACCGCTACTGGCAGGGTGAGGCAGGGCTGGCTCTGAATAAGCCTGAGGCCCCTGCAGATGGGTCAGGAGCACCATCATGCACTACCAATGCCGCCAAGTCAGGTCACAAGCCTCTGTGCATAGCAGCTTTCAACAGGCAGGCTCAGACTCCCCAACCCTAGCTCCCTTGGTCTGTGTCAGCTTGTGCACTCTGGAGAGCCTGGTGGATGGAGTGACAGAGGGGACAGATCCCCCAGGCAGGTTTCAGATGCTGCCCTGAGCCCCCGCCACATACCTGGTGTTTCAAGCAGCTCACTCTTACCTGGAGTCGGGGTACTTGGTGAGCGTAGCCAGGCTGCTGGTGTACATGTGGCCGCCCACGTCGATGTGCACAGGTGCATTGGACTTGGTGAGCTGGGCGGGCAGGGGGATGCCCTGTGCAGCCAGAGGAGACACAGGCGACCGGGTGAGAGACAGCCGGGACATGTTTCCTCCCTCCTAGAGATGGAAACAAAGCAGAACACAAGAGTTTCTCCACAACATGGCCATGCACTCCCTTTATGGCGAGTGTGATCACAGATCTAATCAGATCACTTCCGCCACTGCCTGATCACATATTCAGCTGACAAATTATGGCCACCACTGTAATAAAGTGTATTTGCATCATTTTCTTCAAAGTACTACAGGGAAAAAAAGAAAGATGCTTATTAGCAATAAGAAATCAAGAAAAAAAATTTTTTCAAGGTGTCAGCCTCCAGGGGCATAAAACAAACTGCAAAATTCTAATTAAAGGTCGAGGGCTTATGTGTTAGATGTGAAATATCCCCTGACAAACGAATCACCAATTTGTGAACTGGGATTCAGGGGTTTTTTGCAAGTTTGTCTCAGTAACGAGACACCTCTAAATTAGTGACTTCCTCAGCACCTAAGGCGTTGAGTTTTATACATGTAGTAAATTTCACATCAAATTAAGAGCGTTTTGTTTCAAAAATACATAATCCTCAGACAGTCAACAGCCACCTTGAATGTGGTGGCCCTAAAGAAGGACAGCCAGTGAACAGGCGCTGGGGAAGAAGGGAAAGAGGGGACCCCCAGCAGGGACCCAGCCCACCCTGCAGGCTCACCGAGGTGCCGGCACTGCCGTGTGTGTGAAGCGAGGACCCGCTCGGCCGCTCCTTGCGGTGAGGCATCTAGGCTTCCATCTCTGCCCAGAGTATCTGTGGGAGGGATTGACAAAACCAGAGAAGGCTTATTCCTCGGAGTCATCTCCCGAGGAGTCAAAGACGCTTAGAATTATCCTTTCTGCATGCTCTCTGAGACCTGGTGAGGTCCATGCAGCCCTCCCTAATTGATTCCACCGCCACTATCTCTCTATCCTGTCTCCACACCCCAAAGCAGGCCTCCAGGCCCTAACAGAGGACACATACACACACATGCACACATACAAGTCGCACTGTCACATGTGTTTTCTGGGCAGCTCCATGTCTGCTAATTCAGCTAATGACAGCACTGAAACATATGCTCACCATTATTGCCCCAAAATGTTTCAGAACAAATCAGATTTTCCTGGTATTTTGGTTTCAAGCCATGTTACCAAGCATGTCTCCTCTTGGAATGGCCTTGTGGACCATGGCTCAGGAAGCACCCCTCGCCCTCCATGGGCCGGGAAACCTAGGACCTCTCTTACTACCATCCCCGTGGTGATAAGATACAGCTTGCATCTGGCCAGACAGAAGCCTTTCAGCATTAGTCTAGGCACATGGATGGCAGCAAGACACTTGGGAAGCTACCTCTCCTCTGTGGCTCCCAATAGCAGAGAAAACCTGTCTTTGTTTGCCTAGTCTGTACCTCACAGTTTCTCCCCAGCCTCCCAGAGTGGTATTGTCTGTGTCTAATGCATTCCAGGCCCCTCAGGATCACACACCCCCTGAGGCATCAGGAGCAGGCCAGGAGGAAGCAGAGAGCAAGCAGATCAGCCAGTGAACTCTATCTACTACTTCCCCGGGGGGCACTCAGTGACTTTCCTCTGTGCCATAGCCACCTGAAATAAGATTGTTCCTCAGTCCCTGGAGGCCACGGGGGGGTGGGGCAGGGGGCACTTTGCCGGCTCTGTGTAGGTGGGGCAGAGAGGGGCAGGATTCTACAGCTCGTTTCACTGAACTTACAGCTGTCTCCAAGTGGAGGTAGGAGAAAATTTGCAGTGAATAGTCACCCCCCTTCAAACACATCCACAGACACTTGCTTCCACAAACCTATCCTGGCCATCTCTTGCAGGTTTCGCCTTTTAAGAAAGCAACCACATGAAATTCTTGGAACCCATGAGACTGCTTCTTCCCATGAAAACTCTGAGATTGCAATTTGTGCCTTGAAATTCAACGTCCAATTTTAATCCAATGAAAATCGAATCTTGCAAATGTAAGGTTGCTCTCCTGTGACTTGTTCTGCCCTGAGTGCTGGGGCAAGTTTCCTAACATAAAACTAGGGTGGGAGGCTGCAATGAGCAGACAGTGATGTTTAATGTATACCCTCACTGGGGCTCAGGGTCCACTGCTTTCGGGATTCCTGAGTTCCAGAAAGCTTAAACCAAACCAAACCAGGTCACTTAGCTCAACGAAGTTCTGAGAACCAAAACAGACCTCAGGAATGGATGATCCTGCCCTAGGAAGCTCTGCTGGGGGAGGAGTCAGAAGGGAAGACGGGCTGAGGATAAATTGAACAGGAAGGAATTGCTGCTACAATTCTGTCAAAGCGGACTGCAAGAGGTTTTCCTCCAGTACCAGGACACTCTTCCAGAGTGACATGAACACCAATCCCCCATCGCAGAAGCTGCTCCACCCTGTTCTTGGCCCCTTTTTTCTCCCAAGCACAACCTGATGTTCATGGTAAACCAGATACTTACCGTTGGAAGCCCCAGGCTTTACGCCTTTCTGTGAATCTCCAAGGTTTTCCCCAACGAGCGCATCCGTGCGGGACCACAACCTTCTTCTGGAGACCACTGCTGAAGTTAGAAGCACAGAAGTGGGTGCAGTGAGAGATACAAGTTCATTCCACCAACACCAGCATCAAAACCCACCACCCAGCCTCAGTACGCCCCGGCCCGCCTGTTGCAAGGGCCTCAGCGCTAGCGGGCAGGAGCGCCCACGGGTTTCCGAACTGGCCCAGTAGTGACCCGCTTCTCCAGCTGCGGCGGGAGACCCGGGTCCCTGCCCGCCCGCCGCCGAGCCCCGCCCACCCGAGCAGAGAGAAGTGAGCAGAATGCCACGCTCATTTACACACAAAATGATTTTGTGTCCCATTGCGCTCGCAGTTGTTCAGCTCTCTGGGGGTGATTAAACTGGCTGAGCTGCGGCAGCTTGAGACGATTTCACTAAATCGCTTCTTCGTGAAGTCGCTTCTTTGCTAAGCTGTTATTTTAACCATAAAAGGTAAACAGAAGGCGCCACTCGAGCTCCCTTCGGCTCCATACTCAGGGCGCTGGCCAGGGGCGAAAGTCCCGGGGGCCTGCAGAATATTCCCCAGGGGTGGCCCCAGAGAGGCAGGCGGGCCACCTGGTGCGCGCCAGCCCCAGCCGCGGAGCCAACCGGCCGGTGTGAACTTAGGGGCGACGGGAGCCGGCTGGGCCCAGACTGGAGGCGCCGCCGGGCGGGGTGGCCGCGGCACCCAAAGCGCCCGAGCCCGACTGGGTGGGGAGGGGTGTGCGGCGGAGGTGGGGCGGGGACAAAGTTAAATCAAGAGGCAGACACTTGGAGACCACAGATGGGAAGCTCGCCTAATTAAGGACGTAAAAGCGCTTTTGTTCTCAAAGTTTATTGTTGCTGGGATTAAAAAAAAAATAATTGAAACTAATGCTGTTATTCACTCGTGCAGTTAAATTCCTTCATGCACATTTGAGATACCGAGCGAAAACTTTGAAGCTTATCTTTCTGCAGTCGGGGGTGGGGGCCGCCGGAAGACAGAAAGGCGCTGCAGCGGCGGGGGTCCACCAGGGGTGTGTTTGCGAGAGAGTGCCCGGTGCGCGCGTCCAGGTCATGGGGTGAAGGCGGGCAGCGGGGAACCGAATCTGCAGGCAGCGATCCCGTCTCATCGCGGCCCACTTCCAGCCCCAAAATCTGCGCGCCCTGGACCACCACCAGAGCTACAGCTCCTCCTGCCAGGTTTTGGACTCGTGGGGTGGGCGTCAGAGGTAGCACATCTGTCCCGCTGGAGACTTTCTTTCTCTGATTTTGGGCGCCAAGCCGGGCCTTGTGCATCTCGAAGCCCCACTTGCGTGAGCCCGTTTCTGACCTCGGAAACTCGCCAGTTCTGCAGGGTGCTCGGCCCAGTACAGGGGCCAGAGTGCGGGAACCTGCACACTCGCGCGCGCGCGCGCGCGCGCGCGCACACACACACACACGCGAATATACACACACCGCGCGGCAGGAAGCTCCCAGCCGGCCCGCGTGGGGTGGGTCCACCCGCGGCCAGGACCAGCCCACGTGGGCAGCCCCCCTCTCGCACCAGGCCTTTGTGCTGGGCGCCCCCGCGTCGCCAGCCCCCGCCGCCCAGCAGAGGGACAAAGCGGCCGCCCCCGCCCAGGTCCGGACCCTCGCCGGGCGACTTTCTCGGTATTGCAGCCACTTCGGGGACAGGGGTGCGCGGCGCTGAGCGGTGGCCGCCCGCGCAGGGCTTACCTCGGAGCCGGAGCGGCGGATCGGGCTCGGGCACAGCCCCCGCCCCCCGCAGCCGCCGGTCTCGGGTGCCGGGCGCAGCTTCGCCGCCTTTGCTCGCTGCGCGGGTCGCTCCGGTCTCGTCCAGGAGTTACTTTCTCTCTCGCCCCCAACCCTCCCCCCACCCACCCCTCCCGCCCCGGCCCCCGCTTCGCGCGGCCCCTCGCGGCGCGGCGCGCCGGGGCCTCCCCTCCCCACCCTCCCCTTGCCTCCTCCCCTCCTCGCGGCCGCCGCCGCCTCCTCTTCGCGCCGCTCTCCGGCTACCCTCCTGCCGCTCCCACCTCCTCTCCTCCCTCCTCTCTCTCCGGCGGCCTCCCTCGATTGCCGGAGAGAAAACCAGCCCCCCCACTCCAGCCCGTAGCCGGCGCCTCGCCGCGGCCCAGTCCGGACGCAAAGGGCAGCGATCCGGCCCCGAATTACCCAGCGCGAGCAGGCGCGCGCTGCGATCCTGGCTCGGGGCTCGGCTGCGCCGCGGGGCAGAGGATTAGAGTCGCAATTAGCTCCGCGCGCCCGCGCCTGCCGCGCTCAGCGACAAAAACGCGCCGTTTCCCCTCCTTTTGCCGGCGATCCCCACCCGCCTCTCCCGGAGCCCGCGCCTTCCCGCCGGGGCCGCGGCCAGGACCCTCCCGGGAGCGGTGCGCCCAGGCCCCAGCGCCCTCCGCGGCCCAGCCCCCCGCCCCCCACCGGCCGGCCACGCGGCGCCCGGGCTTCCTCCGGGCTCGGGGAGGGGGCGGGGGAGAGGCTGATTTTAATCATTGTCATTTCATCTGATGTAATATTTCCCCGGGCGTTTTCAGCTGGGCATAAATTTTCGGCTCCCAAATAAGTAACACAGGGCACGTTTCTCACATTTCTTGACTCCTCGGTTACAAAGAGGAGAGCAGCCGCCGCCGCGGCGCCCGGGGCTGGGGGCGGGACTTGGGAAGAAACTGGGCTGCGAGTCGGCCGGGGCTGGAGCGGAGCCGGGGGCCAGGCCGCCCCTCCTCCCGCTCCCCGGCCGCCCTCCCGGGGTCCGTGCCCCGCTGCTCCTCTTCCGTGACGTCTGTGGACACGCGGTCGGCCACCGCAGGGTAGGGACGCACGGGGGCACCGGGCCGACCGCTCGCGGCCAGACGCGCCATTTCCTTTACGCGCGCGGCGAGATGGAGACGGCGGCGGCCAAGACTCCCGGCGGCCGAGGTCCGCGCCCTGAGCGCCCCTCCCCGGTCTCCGCTTTGGCTGCCCCTTCTTCCTCCTCTCCCACTCCCTTTCCTCCTCCCCTTCCTCTTCCTCCTCTTTAATTTGCGCCCCGCCCGTGCCGCCGCCTCCTCCTCCTCCTCCGCGACCATTTCCCCGCTCGTAGGAAACGGAGCGGGCGCCCGGCCGGCACTGCGCCCCCGCCTGGCTCCCGGGACGCCGGGGCCGCGGGGCGGGTGCGCTCCGGCGGGGAACCACTCCTGGGCCCCGACCAGGAGCTCCGGCCTTGCCTGAGCGCCCCCTAGCGGCCGCACTCTGGGGTTGGGGGACGCTTGGGTCGGCCTGGAGCCAGGGTGCGGGGGATTGGGGGTGCCAGTAGGGGGAGGGTGAAGTGGGAGGCCTTTCTCCCTCGACTAGAGGACCTTGCGCGCGTGGAGAGAGCGTCCAAACCGCGCTTCCGTAACTTCTCCACGCGGGAATTAGTCGAAACTTTCCTCCTAAGGGAAGATTTTATTTATTTATTTATTTTCGAACTCGAACTACAGGAGTAAGGGGGAAATTTTCTCATTAAAGTTACATCCCTGCAGTTAGTTCAATTACTTGATATATGCAGAAGATGTTGTAAATTTATAGATTTAAATAGCTTACAAAGATGCCGCAGGCCCTATCAGTTAATTTCCTTAATTTATGGATTTTGAGCTGCTCCTGGAACAGAAAAGGCCTGGAAGTAGGTCAGGGATCTGTGCAAGGGTGGGGTGGAGGGCTCCCGCGAGGCCCAAGGGCTGCCCACTCTGCTCCCCACGCCCCGGTACCTCCAGGCTCCCAGCTCGCAGCTTCGGTTCAACAGTGCTCTTTCTGCGCGCTCCGCACCCTGGCCAGGCCCGACAGGTCGGCCCGGCTCTGTGGTCGACTGCCCCAAGCACGAACAGCAAAGCCCTCCATCAACGCACATCCCACTTAGCATTGAGGGACCAGACCCAAATAGAAAGTGAAGCAAGTATTCAAGTACTTTGATCTCCCGAGTCCACCCTTACATGCTGGCTAGAATTACAGTCAGAGGAGATTGTGGGTGTGGGTGCCCCCAACTTCATGGACAGAAACGTCCTCCCCTTCCCAGGCCTTTGAGAAGGATGGAATGAGGGAAAATGCCAGCAGGCTTCTGTTGGAGGACCAGGGACCCACTGAAAATCCCCTTGTCATGGCCCCTGTGGCCCCAGCACCCCTCACACCTCTTTTGTTCCTCATCCTAGGTGGCTGCGGGAATGCCTTTGTTTTGTGTTCAATATGGGTGAATATATACATATAAATTAATACTTGAAAGATTGGTAGAAACGAAACTGTTTTAGGAAGCCACCTGGCAATGCGATTAGTATTGGTATTCATGATTTAACGTTTCTTTTCCCACTAGATGAAGTTTCTAAGATTTGCAAGGTACATGTCAAGGACGGGTGTATAAATGGATTTTTATTTATTCACAACTCCAAGACTAATTGCTTCTCTTTGCCTCAAGGCCATGAGATTGGTTTTAATATGACACTTCAAAAGTATTCATGGAACTACAGAGATACTAAGTGTCATTGTTTAAGAGACAAATCTCACCATGGTACTGATGACCCTGAAAATAGGATGTTCTACTTTATTTTAAATTCCTACGTGTTTTTTTAAGAGTCTCACTTTATACCAATTATAATAAAAAATGTACAAGTTAGTCGAAACGAGAACTGGCCATTTCAAACGACCTTTATTTCATTAATACTGCTGGGGACTTTGTTTCTGGGTTCCTAATCCATACGTGTCATTAAGAACAGTAAGTTTGGGTCATAATTTATTCTCGAATGTTTTAAAAGTTCCTAGCTGAATGTCAACCCTATCTTCCATTGGGAGACTTGGATATGAACAGTGATAGGTATTTGACGGTCTGTGGTATATAATGCAAAGGTGATGTATTTTTTAATTGAAGGATGTAGAATTTGGACTGATACCATGTTGGAACATCTCGTGGAACACATCCTGTTTCATTACTGTGGTTCAGGAGATGACGTTGGATGTGACTCCAATGAGAACTTGCTCTATCATTAAGAGCTGGCACTTAGTCCATTACAGTTCATAGTTTCAAAAGCAGATTCAGGCCAGGCGAGGTTGCTCTTGCCTGTAATCCCAGCACTTTGGGAGGCTGAGGCGAGCAGATCACCTGAGGTCAGGAGTTAGGGATTAGCCTGACCAACATGGAGAAACTCCATCTCTACTAAAAATATAAAATTAGCTGGGTGTGGTGGTGACTGCCTGTAATCCCAGCTACTCAGGAGGCTGAGGCAGGAGAATTGCTTGAACATGGGAGGCAGAGGTGGCGGTGAGCTGAGATTGAGCCATTGCACGCCAGCCTGGGCGACAAGAGCAAAACTCCATCTCAATCAATCAATCAATAGCAGATTCAAACCTGTGCTCTCACACAGCAGGGTATTTGCAGGATGTAAAAGCAATGGCAAGACCTCAGGTTTCCAAATGTTTCAGGGTGGCTTCCAGTGTGATGTACTTTGTTGCTATTACTGTTTGCAGGCTGTGTTTAAAAATTAGGATCTTAATAATGAAGGGGAAATGAACCCAAAATGAGATCACGGACTCTGCTGAACTCAACCTTCTCAGCAAGGTTATAATCAGACAAGCAGATGAACAGACTGAGAGACCTGCCTGCTGCTGTCTCGGGGAGGGAGGACTCAGGTTTTAGCGAAGGATTGTCTCTTCCCCACCCCCAGGCTTCCTGAGTACAGGTCAGACCCTCTTAGATGTATGCTCATCTCAAGCTCAGAGATGGTTCCTGTATAGGCTAGGAATAAACCAGCCTGGACCAGAGCTCACAGTTTCACATCCACCTGGCCTCCATCTCTACCCTGGGAATCCCCCCAATCTTCCCTCCTGGTTAGGATCCCAGAGAATCTGGAGACTAAAGGGAGTGATGAAACATGGGACTGTTAGTTCTCTCACCTGTCCCCCACACCCAAATTGCCCCTGCCCAGTCCCTGGCACACTCAGAGCTTCTAGTGGGCAGGAAGGCAGGGACTGCCTTTCTACCTTCTGCCAAGAGCCCAGGTGTGCCATTCAGAACCAAACCAACCCTGCCATCCCCAGGAGCCAGCACTGGAGTGAAAATGAGACAAGCCCAAGACCTCCTGACGATGAACTTTAACATTTTTGCAGCCTGTACAGGAAGCAGCAGCCCCCTAAATTGCTCAAAACTGCATTTGAGCCTTTTCCATCAAATTCTCAAATGCTCTGTGGATTTGGGCGCAAGTAGCAAAGGTTGCCACAAATAGCACCTGCTTCACAGAATGCGCCTAGAGATGAATCAGTGGACTGGAATACTATTCAAGGACCAGGTCTTCCCAGCTTACCTCTGCCATCCTCAGCACCTTGGCCTGTTTTCATGCCAGCACTTCTCTGGTCTCAAGATGAACAGAGTTCAAAGCTTTACACCTGCCTAGACACCCACGGAGAACAAGGGAATTATCTTAGTGGCTCCCGCAGCCCTCCTTGTCACATCCTATTGGTCAAAACTGGGTCACATGCCAAGTTGCAAGCCAATGGGGCTGCTGCCCTGAACCCCTGGGAGGGCAGTGGGTACTGGGCAAATTCAGGCTTTCCCTAGGGCAGGGAGGAGAGGATGGATTTTGTGTTGGGGGCTGGGCCCCCAAATGTTTAAGCATAGAACCCTGAGCTGGCCTGACATTGGGGAGAGTTCAAGAGCTTTCCCAGGGACCCATAACCCTTCTTGTGCAATAGCTCTGAAAAGATTGTTGGAACAGATTAGGCTGTTACAGTCAAGGAGCGCCAGG